ACAGAAACGGAGGGGGAGAAAAATCAGGGAAACAAAGTTACAGAAGCACAGACAGAGCTAGAAACAAACGCAGGGATAGAGACAGACAGAAATCAAGCTAGGAACAGAAAAGTGAGAGGCAATAGGAAGAAAGGCAGTGGAAAAAAATGACTAGACCACACCACATAAAGACAGGAGACAAAGCAGGGGGGACGGGGGAAAGGGGGCAGGGTGTATCTTGATTAGGGTTGATTCAACTTTATTGAATGAAATTTCTTATGTACAGTTCAGCAAAACACATGGAAACACCGTATACAAAGGCAAGTACAGATACAATCCATACACACGCTGGTAAAAGGCCAATTCACATACAGAGCAATATACAGAAATGCAGCGGCTAACGCAAATACAGAACAACACAGACCAATAAAAGCCAAACACATATTAACACAAGAGAACCTTTTTCCTATTTTCATTACATTTGGACTTATTGTTACAGAAACCCCAAAACAAATACGGCGCACAGAACACGACACTCATCCCCCACGAACGCCTCCTTCCTCTTACGCACGAACGCTCCACCGCTCTCATCTCACCTGCTCGATAACACCCGAGACATCATCGGTCCTCGGGAACGTGGTTCCCCGGAGCCTCTGAAAAAAATCCTCCTGCCTGACGAAAACCCCGGTCCCTTGACGGTCTGCGCCCAAACTTTGGCGATGAACGTCACCTCGCGGACCGGCCGGGACCGAGGAAAAAAAAACCCAGCCGGGGGGAAACAAAAAAAAACCCCCGGCTGGGGATTTTTTATTCTAAATTTTAAAATGTGTTAAAAAACCTGAAAGGCAAAAGTCACATGCACAAGGTTAGAACCTGTCATCGACACAGACACGCACACCTCTCATTCAGCTTACGCACGAACCCACCCTCGCTCGCACCTCGCTCGCTCCCCTGACCCCCGGCACGCATTCGCGGCGTTCCTCGGGAACGTGGTTCCCGGGAGCCTCCGAAAAAATCCTCCTGCCTGACAAAAACCCCGGTCCCTTGACGGTCTGCGCCCAAACTTTGGCGATGAACGTCGCCTCGCAGACCGGCCGGGACCGAGGAAAAAAAAACCCAGCCGGGGGGGAAAAAAAAAAACCCCCGGCTGGGGATTTTTTATTCTAAATTTTAAAATGTGTTGGAAAACCTAAAAGGCAAACGTCACACGCACAAGGTTAGAACTGGTTGGCATACACTCCCACATGCTGACACAAGCAGATGCAGACGGTCGCTCGCTCTCACGCACGCTCTTCGACTTACATGCTCGCTGCGGCCCTTACTTGAAACCCTGAAGAATGTGCTTCGACACGTCATCTGGCTGCCGCTCGACGTCAAATGGTAGCAATGTCAAATGGTAGATTCCGGGAAAATCGGTAGCTTCTGAGACCTGTGAGACAACGGGAGGTTGGAGGTCAACGAGTGGCTATCTGGTAGGTAGGACTTCTCCCCGCTCTAGGCCCATAAGTTTTCTACCCAAAATCCCGCACAAGACAGATGAATGGTAAAGTTTTTATAAGTGTTCTACCTAACTGTGACTACGTGCCAGGGCAGGGCAGCTCCGATCGCAAGTGACGCAATATAAGTACGCGCGATATAAGCCGACACGGATACGTACGGTATAAGTACGTACGATATAAGCCGACATAATTACATACCGTGCAAGTACATACAATATGTGCCAAGATAATTACATACAATATAAGGACATACAATATAAGCCAACATAGGTACATACAACATAATAACATACAATATAAGGCAAGATAGGTACAGACAACATAAGCGCATGCAATATAAACCAGGACTTGAGAAGTCTCTGGAAGATGAATTCTTGGGCGCTATACCCTTTGAGAAGGCGGAACCTACGGAACTATGCCGGTCACGTGAGAGGGTGTAAGACGCTCCCTATAGAAGCCCGAGAGAACGCCATGAGGAAAAAAAGGCGCTACCAAAGCTGAGATGGAAGATCTGTGAGAACATCTTTTGTACTTCTTCGTGTCTCAAAGAGTAAAAACGTAAAGATGGCAGAATAAGCCATGTCCAGGAAGGAATGTGAGTAAAATATGGCTGATATGGCACAGAATGATGCCCATACAGCGTAGAGATGTAACAAAGGCCAATGACACAGAAGACAATGAATGCAGAATACATGACACAGACACAGACGACACAGACACAGACGACACAGACACAGACGACACAGACACAGACGACACAGACACAGACGACACAGACACAGATGACTCAGATGGAAACCGCCTGGCAGTTTCACCTTATGGACTCAAGATTTCTAGTGCAAGATGAGCCAGAGGCCAAAGATGCCAAAGGAAAGCGAACCCTATGGCAAGAGTGCTTGATGAAACGACACCTTAAACGGAGTTGCTGCCAAAGCAGTTAAGAGGATGCTCGAGAGGCTCAGTGGGCCTAGAGAAGGAAGCAAAGACTGGCGGGTGATGGTGGCTATAGCTCCGGACCTGAAGGCGAGCTCCTCGGGAGAAGGATCCGCGACGACGTCGAGGGTCGAAGAAGGCTGACGACGCAAAGTTCGCGAGAACGCGGAGACGGGTCGGAACTGCCCTGCCCGGCAAAGGCTCTGGTGAGGCTCAGGAGAAACCCTCTCCCTTTACTTCCAAGGGACCTGTTCCGCTACAGACTGCTCCGCTAAGCTAACATCAAATTGCGCCCTGTGAGAGTAAAGGTTTTTTCTCTCCCCCCAACTACAGGGCCCAACACTTATCTTTTGGAAGACAAGGTGACAAAATCCATCGCCGGTGGGACGTGGACGCTGAGACGTTGCCGAGTTCTTCGGTGCTGCTCTTTCCAAACTTTGGCTACAAACCTCCTCAAGGTACCTAAGACAAAACAGAAAATGTGACTATTGCCCTCACAAAGAGTAATCCCCAGGACTCCTCCACACCACTGCCCCAACTCACGTCAAATCTTGATTCAAATCCAGAGACTGCCCGGAAGATACCTGCAAAAAGAAAAGGTACACGCTTAGCATGCTGCTGCATAACACTCGCCTATGAGTGCTGTAACACCCTGCCTAAACACTGACTCACCTGCTTGCCTCTGTTCCTTGGCACACTGAGGACAGCGAGAGCCAATGCAAAGAAACAAAGCAAAAAACCATGCTGAGATACTGTGAAAACACAACCTCCCTAACCTGACAAATAAACCACACGTACATCATAACCTTGCACTTACCTGGCATCAGGCATCCTTGGCTGGCATGGGATGCAAGTGGACCACCTAAAATAAAAAAAACAGTGAATGCTTAGAGTTGCACCAGAAATGGAGATCTCAGCAATAACAACAGCTTCTGTCCACTAGTCACTGCTCACCTTGACCACCTCACCTTGACTGCTGCTAGATGGCTTTACTTCCTAAAAATAAAGAACAATACTGTAACACAAAGTCACCATTCACACTCCCCCTGCAGAGACAAACAGGGACGGACCTGCTCGGGGGAACCCACTCACCTGGGTTGGGGTGCTCTGCTATCGATTTTATCCGTCTGCACCTGAAAGAAAGTCAGGACAAAAGTCAAAGGGCTGCAGGACAACCTCACAGCTCCAGACATCTTGGGTCCATCTACAAATCACATCTAGAATCCAACTACTCCCCACACTACAAATTTCAAGCCCCCAGGATTTGTCCTAGCACACCAGGCTATGCGGCAGGGCAGAGCAGCTCCGGCACAAATATGTGCAGACACCCGTGACACAGGACAGGACGTGACAAACAACGGGGACACAACAGAGACAGAAATCACTTGGCAAGGAGAATGACTGCAAGGACCGACAGAATGCAACATTAGATGACCGAGGTTAGACTGACGGCAAGCTGATGAGGCTCACAGAACCCTGGAGGAAGAAGATGCTAACTGAATGATTTCTTCTAAGAACTGCAAAGACGGATGCCTGTGAATCCTACGGTCAGAATCCTCTACTTCTTACAAGTCCTAATCCGCAATAATGGATCCTTGCGAGGCGCAGCTGTCCGTACGGCTCGGAACAAGACCTTCCAAGACATCTGACTGGATGCTTCCAAAGAGAAATGCAATTCTGATGCCTGTCTGAGCTCCTGAGTCAAAAGCCCTATGGCACTGGTGCCAGGCCAAGAAATGCAGAGATCACAGATGCTAAGAAAGATGCCAGAGTTTCTGATAGGCCCCTCAAAGGGCTAAGGTAAAACACATGAGACAGCCAAACACACAGAATGCACAATAGACAAGTGACACAATACACACCGGGACTGCTCTGCCCTGCGCACCTCAGCCGGGCCGTTGCCTCTTAGTCAGCTGCATTCAAGAAAACAGAGCATCAGTGCCTGGTCTTGGCAGCACATCGGCCAAAACCCAATAATTCTGCTACTCACCGTTCTCCTGCAATGCCTGGGTCTCTTATGAATGCCGCACGATTCGGCTGCGCTCTCAGGCTGATGCCGTCGTCGCTGGGTTCGCCTCGGTTAGGAGGAGAGGAGGTGATGTGGCATTGCTGAAACTGGAGTGGGTCCCCACTCCTCCTCCCTATTCCCTGACTCACCACCTCTCCTCAGGCACTGCCAAAGTCTCCCCGGATGACTCCTTTAAATAGAAAAGGCAGACGCTTCATCACCAAGTCCTGTAATACTTCCACAGGGCTCACAAGAGCAACAATCACAATCCATCAGCCAGTGTGTGACGGGGAGTTATGCGTACTCCAAATGGATTGCCTAAAGCACACAAATGAGAAGGCCTGCTTAGAGTTGCACCAGAAACTGAGATCTCAGCAATTACAACAGCTTCTGTCCACTAGTCACTGCTCACCTTGACCACTTTGCCTTGTCTGCTGCTAGAAGGCTTTACTTCCTAAAAATAAAGAAAAAGAACAATGCTGTAACACAAAGTCACCATTCACGCTCCCCCTGCAGAGACAAACAGGGACTGACCCGCTCGGGGAAACCCACTCACCCGGGATGGGGTGCTCTGCTATGGATTTTATCCATCTGCATCTGAAAGAAAAAGTCAGGACAAAAGTCAAAGGGCTGCTGGATAACTTCACAGCTCCAAACATCTTGTTTGCCCATCTAGGAATACCATCTAGAATCCAACTACACCCCACACTACACATTTCAAGCCCCCGGGATTTGTCCTATCGCACCAGACTATGCGGCAGGGCAGAGCAGCTCCGGCACAAATATGTGCAGACACCTGTGACAGGACAGGACGTGACAAACAACAGGGACACAACACAGACACAAAATTTTGAGTGAGAGGAATGACTGCAAGGAGAAAGGAAAACAATATGACCCAGATGAGACTGACTGATGATGAGGTCAGGGAACCCTGGAGGAAGAAGATGCTAACTGAATGATTTCTTCAAAGAACTGCAAAGATGCCTGAGAATCCTGCTGTCAGAATCCTCTACCTATCCTCGTGTCCTTTCGAGTCCTAATCCGCAATAATGGATCCTTGCGGGGTGCAGCTGTCCGTACGGCTCGGAACGAGACCTTGGAAGACTTCGGACTGGATGCTTCTAAAGAGAGGTGCAGTTCTGATGCCTGTCTGAGCTCCCGAGTCAAAAGTCCTATGGCACTGGTGCCAGGCCAAGAAATGCAGAGATTGCAGATGCTAGAAAGGATGCCAGGGTTTCTGACAGGCCTCACAAAGAGCTAAGGGAAAAGACATGAGACAGCCAAACAACACACAAGGCACAATACCCATGTGACAAGACACGTGCCGGAACTGCTCTGCCCTGTGCGTCTCGGCGCTGGGATCAAAAGTGACGCTTGCCTTTCGTGTGGCCTTAGGATGACGTATCCTGGATATCCTCAGTTCCAAAGCTGACTCAAAAATCCCTCCCGGTAAGACCTGACACGACGGCCCCCTTCTGTGAGTCATGGCCCTTGACTTATCTTTTGGATGTCCAGGAATGAGAATCCACATCAGGGTGGCTGGGTCCTTGAGTTGTCATCTTCATCCTGTGTCCAAGGGTGTGGCTGTTACTCTGAGTGGCACCTGGGTTAGAAACACAGTTACACTGACTGCTGTGGATGAGCTTGTTTGCTGTAAGGCCTGCGAATGCCTCTGCTATGCTAGAGAAAAACCTTGGGAGGCACTCAAATAGACACCGTTTCTCACCCTGGTGGCTTCAAAACCACCCACAATAACTCCTAACTGGAGTTATTATAAACTCTTCACGCTCCCTCTCCTGGTCACAACACTTAACTCATTTGAAGCCTCAATCTCAAATAGTATCTTGGACACAAGGCAAATCCCTTTTGTGAGGTTATAAATCTGCTGAAAAAAGTGGCCTACTGGACACAATCTGGAATTTCAGGAATTTGCATTCCTCCTAAAAAAAAAAAAAACCAAAAAAACCAAAAAACCCCAAAAAAAAAAAAAAAAAAACGGTGCCTTCAAAACCACCCACAATAACTCCTAACTGAAGTTATTATAAACTCTTCATGCTCCCTCTCCTAGTCACAACACTTAACTCATTTGAAGCCTCAGTCTCAAATACTATCTTGGACACAGGGCAAATCCCTTTTGTGAGGTTATGAATCTACTGAAAAAAGTGGCCTACTGGACACAATTTGGAATTTCAGGAATTTGCATTCCTCCTAAAAAAAAAAAAAACCAAAAAAACCCCAAAAAAAAAAAAAAAAAACCCACCAAAACCAGAAAGTACAAAAGCACCTTACCACCTCTGAACCCACAAGCCAAAATCCTGAAATTCCCTCTACTCCATGCTGTTTTCCACACAGTATCTTCAAAGCTTCTTTTGCTTCGTGTGCCCAAAAGCACCTACAGAAAACAACCTGATAGAAGCTGAAAAAGCCTCGTTGCTCAAATGAGATGAGAGCTCCTACCTGAGCAAAGCCAAAGGAGGGAATGAAGCCCCTCAGCAAAGCCTGGGGTTAATATACCCCTGATGGGGCCCACCTCTCCTTGCCACGGCGCACGGTAAAAGGGAGGGGGCAAATCCTACCGGGTATAAAAGCCCTCGGAGCAGCTTCAGCTGTTTAGCTCCTCTGACTTCAGTTTGAGGGGATAAAGGGCTTGCTGCAGGAGAAAACTCTTCACAGAAAAACAAACATTTTCCTATTTGCTACAGCACCTTGGACTAAAGCGGCAGACATGGGTAAGACACACAACTCTGTGTCCAGGTAGCATGATTAGATAATTTGGGTAATTTGCTATTAAATTAAATAATTAGTTCTTCGTCAGTACTAACAAGTGCTTTACATGGAATTAAGTAAGGTGGAGAAGAGTACTAATAATAAGAATGCCATAACTCTCCTTGGGACTTCTAATGAAGGCTATCTACATGTATTGCCACCACAAGCAAGTGTGGCTGGTTTGACAGTGCCAAGTGCCTCCTGCAAACTGACATCAGGAACCTGGCCTGGTGAGTTTTGTTTCCCAGGGAAAAGGGCCGGCCTTCCTGTGCAGGGGCCTGTGGTTATATATTATTTGTATATAAAGATAAGGGAAGCTACAGGTTTTTGTGTTTGTCAGTTTTGCGTGGGAGATATTTAGGGAAGTGATGCAAGGCTTCCAGCCACTAGAAAACTAGACACGCCTCTGTGAAAAACACATTAAAGGTGAAAGAAACCCGGGAACTTCCTTTTACCTTCTGGCCTGTAACAAGGTTGTTCCGGGCCCCAACACCTGCCAGGCAGGGACAAAAACCCTAACCAAAACAAAATCTAACCACAACTATTAATATCTTACCACAAAATCCCCTCCCCCCAGCACAACTCCCACAAAAAATCATACAACTAAAACCAAAAAACAACCCTACCACCCACACAAAATAACCCTACAACTAAAATTAAACACAAAAACCCCAAAAACCAACCACACAACTAATCCTAACACAACCCCAACCACAATTCCCACCACAAACACCAAGTAACCATCTACAAACCCCAAAGTATTACCTCTTTAAAAACTTCAATCCTCCCTCAAATAAAAAAAGAAAATACAAACATATTTTAAAAACCATAAAAACATCTAAGTCAACAAAAAATTAAATCCCAAATAAAAAATACCAATCAGGACACTTAATCTTAAAACTAAAATCCTCTTATAAAACTATTAAAAACCCCTCTATTTCCCTATAACACATAAAACTATAAAAAAATAAAATGTTCAAATTAATGTAAAAACCCCATAAAAAAGATATCAAAATAACTATAATACTATAAAAAATTAAACAACAAAAAATTCTATACCCCCCAAAAAATCTCTTTCCCAGAAAGAAAAATAATTTTAGAAATAAATAATTAAAACTTTTATCTTTAAACAACTCATCTTTAAAACAATACCCCATAAATTAACATAACCCATAAACACAACTATTAAAAAATCCAAAAATTCACAATTACAAATTTTCCCAAACTACTATTCATAAAAAAAATTTAAAACCACAAAAAAAACCATTTTTCCTTATAAAGAAATCTCCATAACATGGACAAAACAAACTTTTCTCCTTAAACTCAAAAAAACTAATTTAAAAGTAATAAATGAACTAGAATTTTAAGTTGTGTTTCTTTATATTATCAGTAAGAAAAAAATTAAGAGAAGAAAAATATTCTAAAAATTTTATTCTAAAAATTCTTATTACTCTTTAATTACTATAATTTTTTCTTTATACCCTTTTAAAATTTTAAACCTATTTTACCTTTCTCCTAATCCTATCCCACAACAAAAAATAAATACATTAATAATTAGCCAACACCAAACTCACCACTCTTTAACCAAAAAAATCTCAAAATTAACAAACTAAAACCACTACAATATTTTTTGAACAAACACACCCCCTAAACTCCCATGCATTTTTGGGCTGTAACCTCCCTTTTTTGGGAGAACCCCACCCAAACCCTCTCATACCCTACTCACCTTCTCCTCCACTGCAGGTATTTCTCCTATGTGCCAACCCAGAGTAAAGGAAACTCGATTTACCCCTGTTGCGGTGTGATGTCATGATTTGCCTCAGTTTCCCCTGGTTTCTCCCAGAAATCTCCTTCCCCAGGTGGGTTGTCAATCACCCTTCCTTTCCCCACCCTTGACCCCTGCTGGGCACTGTCTATCAACCCAGTGATTCCAAGGAGAGCATTGAGCAATTGGCAGGTTCAAAGGACGCTCTCCACCCCCTGGGGGGCCACTGGCCCACCCAGGTGTCCCTCTCACCTGAGACCCCCTCCCCCTGTGCCTGGTTGGTGCTCCCTGGGTCCCCTCCCCTGCCCCTCTGCCCAGGTAAAAGGGCAAGCAGACCACACAGTCGTGGTTCTGGTGGAAGAGTTCTGTTAGAGAGTTCATGGGAATTATTGCAAGATTCAGAGACCGTGCCATCGAAATAAAACTCTGGATTAAAAACTCTCCATCGGGACCAGCTCCTGTCTTCACCTCGCCGTAAAGGAACCTCCAGCTCAGGAAGGCCTGAGGAGTGACCCCCTCAAAGAAAGCTCCAGCCCGGAAACACTGGAGCTCGGGGTGTGCCTGGACTTGTCTCCACATGCTCAGCTGCAAGCACAGGCACTGAATAGTGTCCCTGGGGAGAAAACACCACAGGTGCCGCTATTTGGTCAGCCGCCGAGGCCAGACAGACCAAGGCAGTCCCGTCTGTAATACTGGTACACGCCAATATACCCCCACATATGGAAATGTTTTGGGGTGTTACAGACACTTGCATGGGTATACCCAGTTTGCCATCATTTGAGTGGGAGAATTCAGGGCAGACAGGGACAGTTGGAGGGAAATTCACAGCACTACACCAAGTATGAAATCAGACTCGGGTTTTGATTTTCATGTGGTTTAATAAGTTAACAGACTCAGCCATTACACAGCAATAGAATTCTTCTTCAAGATTTACAAAGGTGCAAGAACTTCATTTAGTCATATGTAGTTTGATTTTCATTATTAGCTACACAGTTCCAATTCTTCCCCACCTGAACAATGTGGGGTCAAAATAATCCACCCAGACAGAAAGCATCAAAGTACAAAATAGCACACACAAAGAGGGGTGTTAATTCAAATTCCGTGTGGGTATTTGGTCCAGTACCTTACAAAGCAAGGAAACGTGATGTGGAGCAGTCATGCCTGTAGAAGGAGCTGCAATATCACAAGCACACCTTTGCCAGAAATTTGACCAACGCTGGACTGTTACTCTACTCTGAGACTCAGCGTGACCTTGCAGTAGGGGAGGTGGGATGGAGAGAACAATGCAAAAAGACCACAAATAACAACCCTCCAAAGCATCTCCACAGCTACTCAGAAATGACTTTTCTGTAGGTTTAGCAAACAATGACCCAAGAGAAGCTATAGCCTTGCTTGCTAAAGCCAAAACATGTAACAAAAACATTTGCCATATGCCCAGTTCTAGTCTAAAAATAGCACTTGCCTGTGGTTTGAAGAAGTTTTCATTACATTCCCCTTCACTGAACTTGCTCTCCACCCAAGTAGTCTCCCCTCGCTCTTCCCCATTTCAGTCAAGCTGCCTAAAACCCCACCCTCAACTGCGTAAGCTGCATGAGAGTGCCTGCAGGGACAGGAATTGGACTTGCTTGCTCAGGTCTGTGCCTGCAGAAGTCTGTGCAATAAATGGATATGAATGCCACAGAAGCTGGTACTCTCCTGTCCCATCTATGGGCACTGTCATCCTCAGTCACTTTGCACCATTACTAGTATAGACATTTGCAGAGTATGCTTTAATTGTAAGCACATCCATGCACCCAGTTCCTCTGGCCTAAGACATCCATCATGCTAAATCCTATGGCACCCTCAGAACACTGAGATTTTGAGGTCCCCTTCATTTTTTTCCTGTGTCTGTTTTCCACTGACTCAAGATGATATCTTTCGTGGGCCAACACACAGAGCTTTGTGGATGACAAGACTCCTAAACAGCCTTGCCTCAGCATAGGGAGATGATTTATCCGACAGAAATATACTTACAAGCATAGTTACAAGCTTTCAGCTAGCGTCAATCTATTTTCTTCAGAGAAGTAAAAATACACAGGTAAATTCTAGCAAATCTGTTCAGCCAAAATAGGAAACTAACAAACAAAACCCACAAACAAACAAGAAACCCCCAACAAACAAAAAACCCTCCAAGCAAACCAAAACAAACAAAAACCCAAAATAATCTCAATGAAATGCCTACTTTGGCTTCATGTACAAGTCACTGTTGTGCTTGAGCAGCCACTAGCAAAACACAGCATGTGGAAAGCAGGCCCTCATGCAGGTTGAAGCCTCCATGCATTCAAGCCCACTGCTCTGCTGTTCCTCTTCCACCATATATTTGGTCAAGGACCAATTTCACAAGGTGCAAAAAAGTGAGCCTACCCTGAGACAACAATCTGCCAACTGCAGATCACTCGAGCTTAAAAATTTTGATGGTGGCCTGCGCCACTCATGGGGTTGCTCTGTGGTCCCAAGCATTATGAAATACCACAGAGCCCACAGCAGCACCAAGGCAAGGGCACAGGTATCTGGAAGAAGTAAAACAGGGAAAGTAGATTTAAAATAGCATTTCTTCTGTCCTAAAGCCAGAAACACAAAATATGTTAAATACAAAAGAGGTTTCTTAAAGCAGCCATTCTGTGGGGGGAAATTCCTGGGGACTTCATGTTTGCAGCTTCTGGAGAACAAAACCCTGTGTGACCTTCTCTTTCCATCTGAGAAGATTAGGATAGAAAAATTGTTTCTCACACCAATAAGCACACCTCCACCATGAGGCAAATTCATTACCGTTCATGCCTTTGAGAAACCAGGAAGAGCCACCTGTGCTCTCATAGTCAGGATTAACAAAACCGCCACCTACTGCCTGGGGGATGAAAACATCTTTGTGGGCCAGAAAGAAAGCCTTGTTGAGATAGGAAGAGGAAAGATCAACATGTTTAATGAGGAGAGTATCAGAACAAAAAAATTTCCAATGCACACAGCAGACCTATCCCTCTGTTCCTCAAACAGCACTTTTGAAAAACACCCTGAGAAACGGCCTGCACTTACAGAGAACATACAAAAGATAAAAGGTTACAATATCACTCCTACGCTGTACAATTTTGAGAAGCAACAAAATGTCAGAAAATACATCTCCTCTAGGAAACACAAGCAGATGTAGGACTGAATATATGGCGATGCACTCTGCCAGCACTTGACAACATCCCTTTCCTTTGCAAGCTGTTTAACCAGATACTGATTTGCAGCACAATTTACTGACAGTGCTAAAAAACACTGCTAAAATTTCAAGGGAAGATATGCCCCTACTGGCATGCTTCCCATGTACCATTCACTTTGTCCAACACAGTGCAAATGTCTTCCACCATATCAAGTTCAAAATCAAAAACCATACCTCCACTGCAAGTCACTGGCAGGCATAACCTGGAGCCAACAAACCAGGAACAAAACAGGAAAGCCACAGACATACGACAGGAACGGCTGATTTAACATAGCTAGAAAGGGTCCCCAAGGCCAGTGAGTAACTTGAACTTGTTTTACTCCCTTTTCCCATCACCTCCTCCTACAAGCCAGACCAAAGTATGTTGGTCAAGAATCTAGGTATGTGTTTGTCAGACAGAAACCTTGCCTTTTCTGCCTCCAGTCTATAATGACAAGTACAACACTGGCTAGCCCTCACAGTCCTCCTTGTGTACGTGAGCCTCAGATCCCTGATTCCAAAGAACAGTGAACGGTGTTCACCTCCAGCCACTCCACACCAAGACAGCTCAAGCTTTTAAAGTTTAAAGAAAAGAATACAGGACTATCAAATGAGACTCATGGTAGGTCCTTGACTAACCCGCAACTGAAAAGCCAAAGCCATAGGCTCTTCTGCTCAAAAGAGCATTTCTAGTGCAAGGCTTCACAGTCTCCTACCAGAGAAGTGGTGCTGTCTGGATTCAAATCTTCAATGTTTAGTACCTTGAGATGGTGTCCAAATGAATAAATATAATCCAAAAATGGAACATAAAGTACTGTCATAGCTATAAGTCAGAGGGGATGGTGCAAGACAGAGTACCAAACTGAAATCAAACTCTGAGATTTAGAGAACAAGGGTGTGTCAGACCACGTGACAGTACCGTACCACACCAGCCCAGCAAAAGGTGATGTGAAACTGGTGGCTGGATTGCTATACTTCTAGTGGCCAAGTTCTAATGGCACTGTAGTGCAAACCAGTCACTCACATCAAGGAAATTTATTCTCAGCGAGAAACAGTGAGTTCTCTGACACCCATAGTGCACAGAAGTGCAAACAAAGCCACAGTGCCATGCGGACAAAGAACAAAGAAAGGACAAAAGACACGACAGAGCCTGGAGACAACAAAGACTCCCAGACCAAAACAGATGTAGAGGTTCCTGGTCAGCCAGCTGAACCAATATTTTTCAGATTCATATATGCCCAATCATGTGAGGAATCAGCAGGAAAAACAGTCAAGAGTCCCTCCTGCTAGCACACACAGGCACTTTCAGTTACAACCCTTGGTAACGCCGGCCTTCCCCACCTGTACAAATTCACAAGAAACAACCACCTGTAAATCCTTTTGCTGCAGCACACCAAACACGTTCTGATCGTTGGAAATGGCACACAGCAGCAGTATCAGCAAGTCAGGGTTTGTCCTTCCAAGAAACACATTTTACCTGCGCCATCAAGAGAACTGCTATTTCAGTTGGCAGCATCCTGTACAAGGAAAGACAACACCACAGTAGATACTGTGATGGAAGAGCAGAACTAGAGAAACCAGTCAGGCCTGGGAAATAGGTCTTCCGTGAGGTTTTTCCTCCCCTCTGTCCCACTTTCTTTAACTCAACAACCCACAGGATAGCAGGAGGTTTCTCTGAAATCAGGCACGTTGACAGGGCATGAGTGTTTCTCCAAAGAGCATTATGTGCTATCTGAAGGGAACTTCTGGGGTTATTATACATAAAATGTGTATGGGCCAGGAGACCGGACAAATGGTCCTCTAGAAGTCTCCTCCTGCACAGGGATTTTATTTTCCTCTGCACACCTCTGCCTCTCTGCAAGTACCTGCTGCAGAAATGTCCTCTGAACAGGGGGCACCGCATTTGCAAGAAAGGAAATACGAAACACAATCCAGAAAGATTCCCTCTACTAAGGGAAACCCATCAGTGACAATATGTAAACTCTTGCCTCTTTCTGCCATGTGCCTTCAGGCTCCCCATTCAGACTTCAGACTGCCCTTCACTACATTCCTTGCCTTATTCCTTGCCATCCATTCCCAGCATGGTGCCAGTCCTTGGCACGAGAACCCTGACAGCAAGAGACTGGACACTCGGCAGGTCTCGAAGACAGCCTGGCAGCCCTTTGGCAACATCCCCAACCACCCCCAAGAGTAAGGGATCTCCTCATAAAATAGCTGGTGTGTGCATTCAGTACAGGCCCTTCCCTGTTCAAGAACACAGATGTGGAAGGAGCATTGTGTCACGGGGTGGCTGCACAGGGTGGCAGAACCAACACACTGACCAGGCATTCTTGCGAGGGCTCAGGCTTCTACAAAAATTTGTGCAGAGGTTAAAACTTCCTTCTTCTTAGATGTCTTTCTTCACCAACAGAGCACAGAATACAGGGGTTCCTCAGAGCTGTCTGAACCAGACACTGTTCCAATGGCAGAGCCAGATGGAGGACCGCAACTCTGACAGCTGACAGCTGTCTTCTGAGAGCTCACAGCCCAGGAACACATCACCCTGCAGCATACCTCAAGTTACAGCCTCTGCACCAAGCACAAGCAATAATAGTATTTAGATCATCAGTGACTGCATCATTCTCTGTCACTAGAAGACACATTCTCTGTCACCTGAATGAGGCTACATCTCACACTTCTCGGCACTGTAGCTAACCCAGTAGTTTCTTGATTTTAACTCTAAAGGTTGCCACTTGAGAGACCTGCCCCCTGTTTCCATGAGGCACCTGATGACACACATGAGAGTAATTTCTGCAGTTCCTGGAACCCCCAAGGGGATTAGCATGCCACCTGGATTTTCTGGGAGAGCACAGTGGGGTGCAACAAGCAGAGAAGGCTAAGCCAAGGCAGCCAAACAACCTCAGTCTCGGGTTTGCCGCCTCCGCTCCCCAGATGGCATAGAGCACTGGGGTGTCTTCCCTCAGCCAAGGTTGGAAAGAACTGGACTGCAAGTCACAGATACCATGGAGTGGGAAGACAAGAGACTAGAAAACGATCTCTGAGAAATCTTTCCAATGGGCTTCTCCCTCCTTCAGTTTTCAGCAACTGACGTGTTGTCACTACCTTTGGGTTTGGATTTAGACTTGAAGGAGAAGCGTTTGATGAGGCGGTGAGAGAAGCTACCAGTTTTCTTTCTGGTGGTGGAGTTGGCAGTGACATTGGACAAGTCATCATGTGACTGGCTCAGGCCTGCTTCCTTCTGCTTGCTCCTTCTCCGGAAGATGAACTTGGTACCGCTCCGAAGAAAGCTAACTGCAGAGACAGGAAGAAGACAGAAACCATGATAGCGTCCTGCATTGGCAAGTTTCAGAGACAGTAACACACCCAGCCACTCTCGGATATGCAGCACTCCTCTTCCACACTGAGAGGCAGAAGTATGCAGCAGATCAGCTAATCCCAGCTTCCCAAGGCAAAGTCTCAGTTTGTGACAGACTGCAACACCAACAGGCTGCCTCGCTAAACGTTCCGTTCCACCGCCCCTCTGCATAAACTTCCTTTTATGCAATATCCTCCTCTCAGTGGAAGCGTGCAGCATTTCAAATGACAACCAAGACTCATATGAATGGAAAAAAAGTAAGATCACCTGAACCTGAAGACCCTGAGAGGAACATACAAGACAGAAAAGGCCTCTCAGATCAGCCTGTCTCAAGCGCACAGGGATTAACTTTGTCACCTAGCACCTGGAACAACTGCCTGCGTTTTCATAACGTGCCCACTCTGTAGGCAAATAATACCAATGGCTCCTTATGACTCCCACAAGCAGGAGAAGGTGGAGATGCCAATTACTTTCAACCTCAAATGGATCAGAAAGACACATCCAAAACCTGCAGGCCATGTAACACTACAACGGTATTTCCTACAGAGGGGGTTTGCTTTCCATTTTCTCTCTGTTCCCCACCCGCCAGCTCTCTTGGGAATCTGGGTCGCACACCCTTCTACCCACTGACATTCAAAAAAGGGGCCTCCGCAACTCAAACTATACCTAGCTGTAACAGGGTACACTTCCCCAAAATTTGTCCCACTCTAATACTCTCAGTAATCAAGATTTTGATTTGCATTTCTTTACATAAATCAGTAGCAGAAAAATCCAAGGTGCACCAGCCACACGACAAATGTGTGGAAAGGCCAGGACAGCAGCTAGGTTGAGGCAGCCCAATCCATCATTTAAAAGAAGTCAGTTTGTGTGAACATCTTACATTACGACAGGCACTAGCTGCTTCGATACTAATAGAGAAAGAAGGAGGGCAATCAATGCCCATACAATCCACATTGCTGGGCGGCCTCCATGTCCACACCACAGGTGGCCAAATTCAGAATCATTTTTTATGGACATGCACGCGATCTGTGGACCTGGAGACCAGGGAGAGAAAAGGGGTTCTCTATAATACACAGACTGCACAGGATTCTCATCTAAGAGACCACAGAAACTTGGAAGGCTACAGGAATCAGGCACCTGCAAATTAAGGCCTTTCAAGTCACTCCAGTGGAAAAACCACAAAGACAAAGGCAGGCTCTTCCCGGCTCCATGAGAAGCTGCTCTTTGCTATGCTGAAAGGTGGCTGCAGACCTCATGCTTGGGTGAGGAACCTGGACGCCACTTTGTCCTCACATACAGCTAATGTTATGGGCTCATGTTAGCTGCCCTACCTAACAGTTCATCCTTACCTTTGTGATCTTTCAAGCTCCTTGTCTCAAGGGCTCCCATGGAGCCAGTTTCAGACTCAACATCTTCCACAGATGGCCTTTCAGAGACATCTGATTGCGTTGTCTCATCCAGCTCCTGACTGTCCCTTTGACCCAATGGCGACGCTTCCAGTGGCCGTGACAATTCAGTAAAATCATGCATCTGGTCAGCTGTGCTCTCTACCTCAGAGTCCCCATACGCTGCGGCCTCCAGGGATGTAGCATAACCCAGAGAAAGTGCCATTTCGTCTTGAGCAATAGGTACCTGAAGGGGGGTTAGAGGGGCAGACACACGTGAAGACAGGATCAAAAGAACTGCATTCATCTGCCTACTTCCATCTACACCTACATATGGGTGGCCCAGTTCAGATCATCAGTGCTAGATGGCACCAATGGACAATTGTCACTCTTTGGCTAAAATATACTGGAATGTGGCTGATTACAAGGCATTCTGCTGCACATCCCTCACTCCTGCAGCAAAGGAGAACTCCTTATATTCTCCACAAGGTTCAAAACCAGTTATGGCAGCCACATCCCTTTCTGCAGCTGCCCATTGTGAGCTCCCACTGGCAGCTGCCCTGCAGACTGGCAAGGAATCTTTTAATGTTCACTGGGAAGCAGCTAAAGGTTTCTGATGAGCCAGTCATCCGTGCTGGAACCTTCCCACACTGGTCCCTACAGGACAGGTTAGTTTCACGCATGAGTCCCTAGAAACAACCTCCCAGACTGGAAATGCGGCTCCTAACTACCAGAGACCTTTGACACTCCTGAGATGATGAGTGTACTACGTTTCGTTGGTGTCTTCTTGGTGGTCTTGTTATTCGTCTCAGTTAGCTGCCTGATTGCCGTCTCAGCCACCGGATCCAAGCCATTGGGCAAATGACTATCCCCTGAGCACAAGAAAAATACCTTGCTTGGAGAAGCAACCTTCAGCAGAAGCAAAAGGTCGCTTGCTGACCGCAATGCTTGCAATAGGCAACTTACATGCACACAAATGTAGTTTCCCCAGACAAAGTCTATGACAGACTTGTCCAAATAAACAAAATGAAGAAAGCTCTGTATAGGTAGCTCTTGGCTTTTTCAGGTACCTGAAAACTTTCATTTCCCACCAGGCACATCATTAAAATACACCTCCCCTTCCCACCACTACTCAACAAAACTTTTCAAAGACTCCCAATAGTTCCCTTTGCCAGCAAACTGTCAAAATGGCTGTAGTGCTCTGTTCTAGACACAATCAGAGCCCAAGTGCAGGGTGACCAAAGTTGTTTGGGTCCAGATAGCCTGGAAAGTTCTGGTCAGGCAAGGAAATGCTCATAGTCACTGACTGGATACTCAAAAGAGAATGTCTTTTACCTGCCCACATACCACCACCACCAGCCTTCTGCCCCCACCTTCACTCAGGCACTTGGACATTCTCTAAAGCAGAAAATGCAAGAACGTTCAGGGAACCGCACTCAGACTGCCACTTTCCAAGACAGGCTAAGGAACACAGTTATTTCAGTAAGAGCCTCAAACTTCCGAGCACTTACGGCTACTGCTGGGCAAGTGAGGACAGCCGGTCTCCAAGAGCACTGTTGTCTTCTTTTCAGTCACTTCCACTTTGGAAGGCGACCTCGATGGTGAATCTTCACAGCAAAAGAGACACCGAGATACCAGTAAATGGAGACGAAGCTTCCACTACTATGCTATCATATTGTGCCCCCTACACAACCCTAAAAATCCTCAAGCGAGCATTCGGAGAGCCTGCGAGACAGCTCTGTAAGGCTTTGTGGCAACAAAGCAGTAAGAAGCCTACTAGGAAAAAATGAGAATCACTGAATGGTTTGGATTGGAAGTGACCTTAAAGACCACTTAGTTCCAACCAGACTGCCATTAGACCAGGTTGCTCGAAGCCCCATTCAGCCTGCTCTTGAACATGTCCAGAGACAGAGCAGCTACAGCTTCCCTGGGCAACCTGGGCCAGTAACTCAGCACTCTCAGAGGGAAAAAATTCTTCCTAAAGGCCAATATAAATCTACCCTCCTTCAGCTTAAAGCCATTCCCCTTGCCTTATCACTGCATGCCCTTGTAAAAAAATCACTCTTCAGCCTTCCTGCAAGCCCCCTTTTAGGTACTGTAAGGCTGCTTGCTGTAATGTCTCCCCAGAGCCTTCTCCTCTCTGGCCTTAACAGCTCCAAACTCTCTCAGCCTTTCTTCACAGGGAGGTGTTCCAGGTATGTGACCAATTTAGTGGTCCTCTGGACTCACTGCAACAGATCCATGTCTTTCATGTGTTGGGGGGTCGCAAGGCTGGACACAGTACTCAAGGTGGACTCTCACAAGACCAGAGCAGAGGGGAAGAATCACCTCTCTCGGCCTGCTGGCCACGCTTCCTCTGATGCAGCCCAGGATATGGTTGCCTTTCTGGGATGCAGTCCTGTGAAGCTGATGCACAGCAATACCTCATTCACATCATTTCCCAGTCCCACCTCTTTGAATGTCCAGCACCACATTCACTAGGATGCCACACCACAAGCAGCAATAACCCCTAGTAAGCCAGGTCAACATGCTTTTGGCTCCACTATCAGTATTTTCAACATAACTTCTTTAGCAGTGAAGAAACTAGAGAAAGCATGGCCAAACACTTAGCCTGACATCATGCAGAGGTTATGTGGCAGCATATGCATTAGACCTTCCACCCTCCCTCACCTCCCCCAGACACAGAACTGTAATTCCCTACCCTAGGGCTACACAAGAGTTTCTAGCCAGCCACGAAGATGCTAAGGGAACAGCATGGATGCCCATGTTCTGACCCACACCCCAAAAATAATACATAAAGCATGAGCCTGCAATAACCAGGTGTGATGGCTAAACAGTTTTGCTACTGCCTTCATGAGCAGCCATGGGAATATTGCAGCTAAGTCTGTGCTGCCATAGGAGCCACCTGTACAATACACTTGCTGCTGTGCAGCCTCACCCAGTTTGCAATCTGCCTTGGGCCGGGACTGAATTGTGGTGACAGTAGTCACGATGGTGCCATCAGGCATGATGGTCCGGTCCATCTCCACCTTCTTAGTGGGGGTGATGCTGGTTCGCAGAGACGTGGCATGTGGAGCATTCAGAGATGCAGGAGACTCCTGGAACAGCAGCTATAAACAGTAAAGCACTGATCAGAGAGGCACTCTTCTTCCCAGATGGAAAGGCAGGCACGTTTGGGCAACAAAAGCTACGCTCTGGGCACCAAGGAGCCATCCCCAGTACAGTATTAGTTCAACAACAGGAGGCTCAGGGACCAAGGGTCAGGTGACATCCACCCCTCCATGACACAAGGGTCTGCTAGCCCCCTGTGCCAAGCTCAGGCCCAAACACGTGTGTCTCCAGCTAGAGGCTCACATTATGAACTCTTCCAGAGCATGCATGTGTGCAGAGCTTGTGGGGTCATGAGCTCACCTCCAATGTAATGGAAGCTTCAGCTGTCAGTGACTGTCCAGCTCCTGGCACCAGTGAGCAGACCTGTCTCCCAGATGGCTGCTTGTCCAAAGAATCTATCAAAAGTGTGGCATATGCCAGCAGCACATCTGCAAGAAGGAAGAGCAAAAATGAAACACTTCACAGGACCTCAGCACCTCAGACATCTCCAAGGTAATCCCTGCTTTTGGGAAGCAGCACAATAGCCAACACAGCAGATGGCCACAACTCCACTAACTCCCAGGTTCAAGAGGGAGAAGGAGCAATCAATGCTCCTCCACTCCTCTTTAACAATTCAGGAATCAACTCCCTTAAAAAGGTGACCACTGTGTGGCCTCCATCAAAAATAGATGCTGTAGTTAGTCCCCAGCTGAGTACAAAAGAACAGTTAAGAGCCTTATGCAAAGCTCTCCTAATACAGGAGGCAAAATCCTGCATGCTTCTCCCTGCTTCAGAATGCAGACAGGCAGGCCACAGGAACCTCCTGATTCAAGGTCAGACCCAGACCATTTTGGCAAGAACAGAACGAGTTATTTCACGGAGTCACAGAAGCTCACATAAAGCTAAATATGAAAAATCCTTTGCAGAACTCATCACACATTGTACCAACAGAGAACTACCATGAGCTTAAAGCACAGTGAGGCCCTTAGACATTTTTGCCTCCCCGTCTTAAAACCCATCTTATGGCTGTTCATACTCACTTCCCCCTCCATCGCTGCTCCTCAGCACCTGTAGTTTCAGTTCTTTGCTTCTAGGTCCCAACTCCCTGTTGAAACCAAAGACAGGCTGGTGTTAGGCCATCTTAATTTTTAAGTAGCCAAAGAGCAAACAACCTCATTCTGTATCTTCCCTCCCTCAAATCTCACACGCCTCATCACCATCTCCAAAGTTTCAGTAGCATGCACTACCATGGAGGACATGACTAGACCACCAAATTACACAAATGAGAACTCTGGTTTGCGTGCTCTGTAGAGCTGTGTAGGCTGACAGTGGAAGTTGAGAGGGCAATCCCTCTGGAATGCTGTTTATGCTACAGCCCTATTGCACCTGCTGCACCTAGAATCAGCATTTCTGCCCACCCAGTTAGAACACAGAGTGTCCAGAGAAGCGAGAAATATGTATGCAAGCTCGGGCCAAATGCCCGAATCAGCAGTCGGGTACAGGGGCAGCACAGACACTGCCCGGTGGCACAGACTTCACCTCTGCAACAGTGCACATCACTTACTGCAGCATGGTAATGAAACCCAGAGACCGAGCTGGTCCACCTACACTGCGCCAGCCAGAAGGAGAGCAGACACTCACAGAAAGAATTCGTCATTCCACTCCATCTCTCCTGCAGCACCGACACTGCCACCTGTCAGTGGCCTTGTCCACTTCTGCTGTGGGGGACTGTCTAGCTCTGCCATGCAACGTATCTCCCCAACTCCTGCAAGAGAGACAGAGGGCACATGTGCACTCGTCAACAAGAGGCAGTGGTTCATCACGCACACACCCTTCTTTTCCATTCAAACCCACCCAAAACATCCACTCACTCCGATCTCGCCACCTGCACACTTGCCCCTGTGGATCAGCAGTGTTTTCACGCTTACCTCCCTTCTCCTGGCAGCCCAAGTTCAGCACCCGAAGATTCCGGAGCAACAGCTTAGAACCCAGAGGGGCTACTGCTACTCCAGCCGGGGACTCTCGAGTCAACTTATTGCTGGATACCTGAGGAATGACGAGAGCGAGACCGATACCTTCATCATTCGCTCGCCAGCAGACAGCAGCAAGATGCATCATTCTTGTATCTATTAAGTAGGTCCTCACACCAACACAGGGGAATACCCGCAAAGCCATAAAGAGATGCTGCAGGTTTCCAAGGCTACTGACCTCCTGTGGGCCCTCGTGTTATTTCAGATGGGCAGACAGAGAAGGAGACAGGCAAGAACAACCTTGCTGGCTACCAGTCAACTGATAATGAAAAACCATGGGCCGTTCCATGTCTGCAAAGGCTGCCTTGGAGAGAGTCTTGGTATTCAGAGCAAGGGCGACCACCAAAAGAGAGATGTACCTCAGGCACCAGCTCCACAAGGACATGACTGACAATCAGCATTCAAGAAAAAAGGTGGAAGGAGTTGCCCTTGGGAGCAATTTCTAATTATGCCTACGCACTGCATCGCAGTATCCAAATTCTAATGACCGTGCAGGCCAGGATTCGGCTGTCGCCCAAAAGTGAAACTCAAGCCTTGGATTCCTGCCTGAGCCTCAGCCCTCAAAAGTCTCTTGGGGCCTGTGTTTGGGGCACAAGAATGACACAAGAGTGACTTACCTCACTGGCTCCAGCGGTACAGGCCATCAAATTCACCATCATGGCTGGCTTTGTGCTGACAATGGTATCCTCAATCAGATCCTTTATAGTGGACAGATCTGCTCTCCCTTCATCCTTCTCTCCATAAATCAAGGGGAAATGCAGGAACATCATAAAAAAATGGACATAGTTATAGCTCCACCTGCCTCTCAAGACTCTAATATGCTACACAGTCATTCTCCCAGTAATAACCTCCCAAATACTCTTCCCATATTCCATTCTCACCCTCCTCAGAGGTTAAAAGCTTCTATGTAGCAGCTGCAGGCAAATGCAAGCTTTCTAAATGTGACAAACTAAACCTCTACTTCTGTAGTTTATCTGGTGTAAATTTTTACAATAGAGATTTTATAGTTTGTCACATGCTCACCACCTCAGGAGATGGTGCCACCACACTTTTGGGAAAACAGCCGAATTCCTATAACTACTCAGGATAAAATAACAAAGGTGTCAATAAAACAACAAATCAACCTACCTGTTTGGATCAGGGAAGTGCAAGCACACCCACATGCTGTTCATTAAAACCTCTAACCCAGGGATTCCCCACATTAATCTCTTAAAGCTTAATTAATCCCTTCAAAAAAACCCAATCAAACCTAACCAACACAACAACAAACACCACCTCACACAAAGAAAGAGCAGCAACCCAGCTCGTTTTGCAGCTCTACATCTGACAAGAGCAGGAGGAACCAACACAGACAGAAAGCCTTCAACAGATACTGGTGCCACTTCAGCCCTCTCAAGGATGCTGCTTTGACACAGTTGAGCTAGTACCAATTCCAGGATGAAAGAATCCTCTCCACTGCCCTAAAGGGCCACGGCAGTGAGCTGCCATCCCTTCTACTCCACAGCAGCCCGCCTTCTAGCTGTTTCTGCTCCTTCCCCCCTTCCTCCACTCACAGTCAGCCTCCCATTGTTAGCCACTCACCTCAGGAAGCCCAAGTCGTGGAAGAACAGAAAGGTCCAAGTCTGGTCTGTCTTTGAATGTCCATGACACCAGGAGACCCTCATTCTGTATCTCCTCCAAGTGGATCTCCACCTGGCCCAGAACAAATATCCATAGTCGGAAACAGTTTCTGCTTACATTAGGTGATTTTTGCCCCATTCCAAATTCAGCAATTGAAAGGTTCTCACACCAGCGTAACAGTAAAAAACAGAACATAAGAAGACAAGTGCTCCCAGGCCTAGAGGATGAAGCAGCTGCAGAAGCTCCATAGCGAGATTTGGCTTCCTCACTGCAGTTGGAAGCCCGGGCACCACCAGAGGGAAAAATGATCCATTTTTTCTTTTACTGAAGAAAAAGCCTGCAGAGTACAATCCAAAAGTGCCCAACTGGGCACCAACACATAGGATATTTACTGAGTTACATCACTTAGGCATTGCCAAATGTAAGCACAACCAAATGTGACAGCTTCTTCCAGCCCAATGAAGCCTTTATTTGCATTTTTAATCAGGTCCTTCCTCGATCAGTGTGGGACTAGATGGAGGAGTAAGGTCAATGTTTAACTTCTTGTAATCCTTACCTGAGCCTGCAGCACAGCCAAAGTGACATGATACGTGTCCACAGAAACAGCAACAGGGGACTGCTGAGTAACAGAGACAGGGAATTTCACAGCTTCAGCTGACAGATGGCAGCACAGCACCTAAAAAGAGAAGGAAAAGATGAGTTTATAACCCAGCAAGAGGCAGCCGTGTTATTCTCACCAAGTTCCAAGCTGCAAACCTGCCACTTCAGACCCTGTGCTATGACAAGAGCTCTCCTGTGTTCTCCATAGTAGAACCCTGATGTCTGGGTTCAGCCTTCACACACCCCAGCGTCACCAACGTATCTTCCCTCACAGAGCTCACCAATGCACAGCTCCAGAGCCTCCAAACAGGAGGCAAGCCTCCAAACTCCTCCAAACAGATCTCCCTCAGAACCTCCCTGGCTCCACCATCTCCATCAGAAAGGCCTCAGCAGTCTCTGTAGAACACACCATCACACCAGACTGTACAGTTCAGAACAGCAAAGCCTTACCATGCTGTGGTCTGACTGTCCCTTGCATGTCACACAACTTATATTGGCATCTTGTGGTAACTGAGGACCCTCTTCAAATGTGATCTGCACTGAACTCTGCAAAGAGAAAACTCTGTTAGTTCCCAGTACTCAGAGCCACCCTGATAGTTCCAAAGAGGATGAATGATGCAGGGTCCCAGAGACACTTTTTCACAAATCCAGTCAGCACCCGGAACTATGGCACACTGTAATTCTACTCACCTGGACTTGTCTATACACAGAAAGGAAACAAGGTGCCCAGTTAAATCTTGAATTCACAGATACAAGCACCTCCAGGAAAGTGCAAATCTCATCCAGAATCTCACAAGACAAAGTCCTCCAGGACAACTCCCAGACCCCGCTTCAGAAAACAGTTTTTAGACCCAGCAACTCACTGAGGCAATGCTGCTTTCTGAGCAGACATGCTCCAGACAAGGAGCAGCTGCAGCAGAAACTGAAGTGTGGCCATCCAGGGGCCTCCATGCCAATTCAGCCACCGGCTATCTTCCCTTTACAGAAGTCCTAAATTCTGGAACTTATACATTCAGGTCATTTTGTGATACTCTTGAGTAATTCAACACACATGACAGAAAAGCACAGCATATCAGATATGGAAAACTGCCATGGACACTTTGACTATTGCATTGTGATAAGAGGGGCATGGAAGCAGAGGGTGAGTTTCTACAGGGGAAGCGGGGCAGCACTAAGCCCAGTGGGGGAAGGCACTTCACACTGAATCCAGCCTAGAATTTGTCACTCTGTCGAAAAAGGAGATACTTTTCCTATCTTGCTGGAAAACCCAAACACAAGTTTGCATCACGTTCTTCAGGACTTTAACTGTTTTTTATTCAAATATGTCAGCTTCCTGCTAATCTTTTTAGCACCTTATTTTTCTATACAACTTAACAGAAGGGCAACCTTTTCCCACTCACACGACAGAAAAATAAAAGGATATTGCAACAGACTTTGGACTGCTTTGGACTGTGAAATACAAAGCTGTGTTTCGTGTCAGGCACATACAAGCAACGTGTGTATCTGTGACTGTGATACGTGTGGAAACTGACCATAGGACAATTATAAAGACAATTCTAATAAATAACTGAGGAAGTAAAGCATGGAAGAAGGCCTTTGAACCTATCCTTTGTTTGCAATTAACCTTTATAAATCTTAAGTTGATTTAGCAGCATTTGAATTAAAGCTTTAAAGATGTTGCTGTTTGACAGGAACTTTCTGCTTGTAGCAAAAAAGAGTTTTGCAATAATAACCTTTTGATGTATAATTTTAAAATTTTGCTTGTAGTAAAGATCTTTGAAACTACAGCTTTAGAACATACAAAAAAGAAACATGCTCATCTCGACGCCTTAACAAAACAGCGAAAAGCAGCTTGAGAAAGGAAGATGATCAACTCAAGGATTGATAGTTCAGACCAAGGGAAGCTGGACATCACTGCTATGAGATTTACAGTGCTTGCAATTAAAAGGTGGACCCGCAGCTGGAATCTGGACCTCACCAGCTGGGAGACTTCCTTCTTCTTTGGGAAGCTGGACCCCACCATCTGGGGATACTCTTTTCAGAGATACATCCTGAGAAAAACTACATCACAATAGTGTATAGAATTGTGACGTAAAAATTGAGAATAGAAACTGCTGAGAAAGCTTAGGAGTGCCCCTATAAATACTTGTGAGCCCCAACTATCAGTGCGCAGTTGGTGGGAAAATTTCCCCCACTGTACCCAGCGCTGTATTGCTCATACTTTACCATATTAATTAATAAATTGATTGCTGCTTGAATATTGGCCTAGTCAAGCTTCTCATGTATAACAGGACCACACTTTCTGTGGGCATGAAGTCCCTGCCTTGCAGGCAACACAAGCTATAACGGAATTATTTCCATACGGAATCATCAAGGCATACTCTCCTTCGTGAACATCAAAACTACAGATAATACAATGGTAATACTGGGAGATTAAAGATAATAAATACCAGAAAATTTCGAAGAAATTGCTGTGGAAACATCAGAGTGACTACAGTACTGCCCCAAGCCGCGTTAAACGGCGCGCGGTAACGCACTCCGCCCTTTCCGCGCTCGCACAGCGCGGCGCGCTCCCACGCAGCACGAACTGAGCCGCCCGCAAGGTGCCTGACGGCTCCTGCGGCCGGAGCGCCGTGCGGGAAGGGCTGTCCCGGCACCCGCGAGCCACGAGCAGGCGGCTCGGCCCGCCTCACCTCGCTGCGCTGCCCGCGCTCCCCCGCTCGTGCCCCGCCGTACCCCGTGCCGGCGCGCCTGGCTGTTGAGAGCTCGCACCCAAGCTCGATGCCACTGCTCCCGCAGGGACCGGAGGGCGAGAAGGGCCGCGAGCAGCGCCCGGGCCCCGGCCTCCTCCCCCGCCGCTCCGCGACGCCGTAGCGCTCGCAGGGCCGCGGACCGCCAGTACTGCCGCAGCCAGGCCGCCACGGTGAGCAGCGAGGCGGCGAAGAGCAGCACCAGCGCGGCCCAGCCCAGGTCTGGCCCCATGGCACGGAGCGCGGGGCTCACGGTAGCGCGGCGGGCATGGCGGGCGGGCTGCGGCGCGGCCCCGCTCGCGGCACCGGGCGCACGTGGCCCCGCCGCG